AAAACAATATGATCATTTCAATTGATACCAAAAAGGCATTTGATAAAATTCAACATTCCTTCATCATGAAAACCCTCAAAAAACTGGGTATACAAGAAACATACCTCTACATAATAAAAACCATGTATGACAGACCCACAGCTAGTGTCACACTGAATGGGGAAAAAGTGAAAGGCTTTTCTCTAAGACTTGGAACATGACAAGGATGCCCCCTTTTGCTTTCATCACTGTTATTTCAAATCACATTACCTGACTTCAAGTTATACTACTGACATATAATAACCAAAACGACATGGTACTGGTATAAAACAGACACAAAGAACAATGGAACAGAATAGACAACCCAGAAAGAAACCCACACATCTACAGCAAACTCATTTTCAATGAAGGTATCAAGAACGTACACTGGGGAAAGACAGTCTCTTCAATAAACGGTGTTGGAACAACTGGATATGCAGAAGAATGAAACTGGACCCCCATCTCTCCCCTATCACTGTTATTCAACATAGTACTGGAAGTCCTAGCTCGAGCAATCAGATAAGAGAAAGAAATAAAGGACATCCACATCAGAAAGGAAGAGGTCAAATTCTCCTTGTTTGTAGAAGATACGATCTTATATTTGGAAAAACCTAAAGACTCCATCAAAAAACTATTAGAACTGATAAACAAATTCTTTAGTAAAGTTGCAGGATACAAGATCAACATACAAACATCAGTAGCATTTCTATATGCCAGGAGCAAACGATCTGAAAAAGAAATCAGGAAAGTAATCTCATTTATAATAGCTACAAATAAAATTAAACCCTTAGGAATTAGCCAAAGAAGTGAAAGATCTATGTAAGAAAAACTATAAAACACTGATGCTAGAAATTGAAGAGGGCACAAAAATATGAAAAAATATTCCATGTTCATGGATGGGAAGAATCAATATTGTTAAAATGTTCATACTCCTCAAATCAATCAACAGATTTAATACATTCCCTATCAAAATACCAATAACATTCTTCACTCATCACAGAAATAGAAGAAAAAAAAAAGTACTACAATTTATATGGAACCACAAAAGACCTAGAATAGCCAAAGCTATCCTGTGCAAAAAGAAGAAAACTGGAGAAATCACATTACCTGACTTCAAATTATACTGCAGACATACAGTAACCAAAACGACATGGTACTGGGATAAGTACTGGTATAAAACAGACACAAAGACCAATGGAACAAAATAGAGAACCCAGAAAGAAACCCACACATCGACAGTGAACTCATTTTCAATAAAGGTACCAAGAACATACATTGGGGAAAAGACAGTCTCTTCAATAAATGGTGTTGGGACAACTGGATATACAGAAGAATGAAACTGGACCCCTATCTCTCACTATATACAAAAAATCAAAATGGATTAAAAACTTTAAGACCTCAAATTGTGAAACTACTACAAGAAAACATGGGGGAAACTCTCCAGTACATCAGTCTGGGCAAAGATTTCTTAAGCAATACTCACAAGCACAGGCAACCGCAGCAAAAATAGACAAATGAGATCACATCAGGTTAAAAAAAAACTGCATAGCAAAGGAAACAACCAACAAAGTGAAGACACAGCCCACAGAATGGGAGAAAGTATTTGCAGATACCCTTTTGATGAGGGATTAATAAGCAGAACATATAAGGAGTTCAATTCTGTAGAAAAAAAGATCTGATTTTAAAATGGGCAAAATATCTGAATAGATATTTCTCAAAGACATACAAATGGCAAAAAGGTTTATGAAAAGGTGCACGTCATCACTGATCATCAGAGAAATGCAAATTAGAACTAGAATGTGATATCATCTCACACCAGTTAAAATGGCTTTTATCCAAAAGACAAGTGATAACAAATGCAGGCGAAGATGTAGAGAAAAAGGAACTGCCATTCACTTTTGGTGGGAATGTAAATTAGTACAACTACTGTGGAGAACAGTTTGGAGGATTCTCAAAAAACTAAAAATAGACTGGGTGCGGTGGCTCACGCCTGTAATTCCAGCACTCTGGGAGGCTGAGGCAGGCAGATCACAAGGTCAGGAGTTCGAGACCAGCCTGGCCAATATGGTGAAACCCCGTCTCTACTAAATACACAAAAATTAGCCAGGCATGGTAGTGGGTGCCTGTATCCCAGCCACTCGGGAGGCTGAGGCAGGAGAATCGCTTGAACACGGGAGGCAGAGGTTGCAATGAACTGAGGTCACACCACTGCACTCCAGCCTGAGCAACAGAGTGAGACTCCAACTCAAAACAAAAACAAACAAAAAACTAAACTAGAAATAGAGCTATCATATGATCCAGCAATCACACTGCTAGGTACATACCCAGAAGAAAGGAAGTCTGTATACTGAAGAGACATCTGCATGCACTCCCATGTTTATTGCAGCACTATTCACAATAGCCAGGATTTGGAAGCATGCTCAGTGTCCATCAGCAGATGAATGAATAAAGAAAATGTACGTATTCACAATGGAGTACTATTCAGTCATAGAAAAGAATGAGATCTTGTCATTTGCAACAACATGAATGGAACTGAAGGTCATTATGTTAAGTGAAATAAGCCAGGCACAGAAAGACAAACTTCACATGTTCTCAGTTATTTGTCACTCAGCAAAAAATTAAAGCAATTGAACTCGTGGAGATAGAGAGTAGAATAATGGTTACCAGAAGCTGGGAAGGGTATTGGGGGTGGGGGGCATTGTTAATAGGTACAAAGAAGTAGTTAGAATGACTAAGAACTAGTATTTGCTAGCACAACAGGGTGACTATAGTTAATAATAATAAATTGTACATTTAAAAATGACTAAAAGAGTATACTTGGAATGTTCGCAACACAAATGATAAATGGCTTCAGGTGATGGGTACCCCATTTTCCCTGATGTGATTATTATGCATTTCATGCCTGCATCGTAATATCTCATGTACCCCATAAATATGTACACCTACTATGTACCCACAAAAATAAAAAAATTATGAAAAATGTAAAAGCAAGGTACAGACTGGGAAGAAATATTTGCAGTACTTCTATCGAACATAGGATGTATATCCAGAAGGAACTTTTACCATTCAATGCTCAGAAGTTCAACAATACGATAAATTAAAGGTCAAAAGATATGAGGAGACACTTTCCAAAAATATGAATGACCATATTAAACATTGTCATCATTTGTCATCAAGCAAAAGCCAATTGAGATGCCAAAAAACAAAGAGATGCTGTTACAAAAACACTAGAATGGCCAATATTAAAAACACCATCTTTTACATTGTTCATTTAATTGTAAAATGGTAAAACTACTTTGGAGAACAGTATGGCTCTTTTGAATGAAGTTAAACATCCATTTAACTATATAACCCTGCAATTCTACTATCAGGTATTTGCGCAAGAAAAATGAAAGCATGTCCAAAGGAAGGCTCGTACATTAATATTATAGCAGCTTTATTCATAACGGCCAGATACTGAGAACAGGCCACATGTCTATCAACAGCAAAATGTGTAAACAAATTTTGTTATACGTCCACAACAGAATAGTATAGATCAAGAATAGTAATTAAATATTGATACTCAGTACGATATTGATGATTCTTAAAAATGTTTTTCTTAGCAAAAGAAGGCGGACACAAATGAGCATATACAGTGTCATTCAATTTGTATGATATTCATGAACATGAAACTCAAGAGTGTCATAAAGCAGATGAGTGAGTTTCTGAGGGTGATCATGGGGCCTGACTGTAAAGGGAGATGAACATGTTTCGTATCTTGTAGTAGTAGCTGCAGGGGTGTGTACATTTGTTAAAATGCCTCAAACTGTTTAAAGTGAGTTTTGTTGCATGTAAATTATACCTCAGCACTGATTGTTTTTTAAAGTAGCTCTTTGAGTATTTGGAGGTCTCATCAGAGTTCGGTAAGAGATTTTGTAGAGGTGCAGCCTCCTAAATCTCACCATTTTCTTTCCTCTTCACCCGAAAATATCACAGTAATTCTTAAACAGAAAAAGATGAGAGTCTGATGGCTTTTGGAAATTCCCATGCTATTGATCACATATTGCCAACAGCAAAGGATTCATCCTGGAGATGCTTAAGACATAATGACCGACCCAGATTGCAAAGGATGAATGCTGGTCTAGGAAATACGAATACATTTGAAAACTACACTACACATAGTCTTTTTTAATTTTAAAAAGTGCGTCATGTTTATTCCTAGTGAAATATTTATCATAACTCATGCATTAATTTCAGCAAGGTCCTACTTTGGATCATAGTGTAGATGGTAACAAGGAGCTATTGAAATGTTTTTAAACCTAGGAATAAGATGAGAGAGTAAAAGGGGATTCACACAATCAACAGAAACTTGTGAAAAGTGATGGGGAATAATCTTAAGATCCTGGAGTAAAAACACTTAGATATCTGCCCTTTTCTGGAATTTTTAGTTTTATGTTTTGTTTTTGTTGTTGTTACTCAAAAAACAAAGGCCACGTACAGTGCCTCACGCCTATAATCCTAGCACTTTGGGAGGCTGAGGTGAGCAGATTGCTTGAGCTCAGATGTTTGAGACCAGCCTGGGCCACATTACGAAACTTCATCTCTACAAAAAATACAAAAATTATCCTGGCATGGTGATGTGGTGCCTGTAGTCCCACCTACACAGGAGGCTGCGGTGGGAGGATCACCTGAGCCTGGGGAGATCCAGGCTGCACTGAACCGTGATGGCACCACTGCACTCCCGCCTGGGTGACTGGGTGAGCAAGATTCTGTCCCAAAAACAAAAAAACCCAAAGAGTTAGAGTATTTCATTTCTAAAGTCTCTTTTATTTCTAACTTTTTGAGTCTAGAAAAGGTGAAAGTTTGTATGCCTGGTTTGATGCTATGATATTAATGTTAAGAATCATGGTGAGGTTTTGGTATATTTTGCTATATTTAAACCAGTGAATAAAGTGAAGGATATACTTCGGTTCTAATTAATTATTTCTGTATTTTCTTTGTAGGGATTAATCAATTCATGAGAGAGACAGTGAAAAATTGTAAAAGAGATGGGTTTGTTCAAACCATTTTGGGAAGGCGTAGATATTTACCAGGAATCAAAGACAACAACCCTTATCATAAAGCTCACGTATGTTGAAATTTTTTAGGAATTTTAACTTAACATTTCAATGACATGTACTTTTTCAGCAGAGTAAATACTACAAATGTCCATTTTAGGGATTACTGGCATATTAATTGTATCTTCTGTGTAGACAAAGTCAACCATTGGTTTCATTAAGGACTTCTGAAGTGATGGCACATGCCAGTATTTGCTGAACAGAGTCTGGGGGATTAATGTAAATGTGTCTTTACTTAATAATACTTTAAATGTTCTGTTGCAGTAAACCAATTATTTGTTAGCTTAGGTAATAAGTTGTAAATAAACTTTTACATTTGCTAATTATTCTTTGTTTCCTATATCATATATTAATTTATCATATCATACCAAATTGCTAACATTCCTCAGAGTTTAGCCAGTCACTAAATTTTGATTAATTTTTGGTTCATTCTACTTGTTTGCTTATTTTAAAAGCACTATCTGGCCAGGCACGGTGGATCATGCCTGTAGTCCCAGCACTTTGGAAGGCTGAGGCAGGAGGATTGCTTGAGCCCAGGAGTTTGAGACCAACTTGAGCAACATAGTGAGACCCCATATCTACAAAAAAAAAAAAAATAGCTGACTGAGGTAGTGCATGCCTGTAGTCTTAGCTGCTTGGGAGGCTGAGGTGGGAAGATTGCTTGAGCCCAGGAATTGGAGGCTGCAGTGAGCCATGATTGAACCACTGTATTCCAGTCTAGGTGGCAGAATGAGACCCTATGTTAAAAACAAAACAAAAAAAAACCACTGTCTCGTCAGAGATTATTAGGATATCCCAAATAGTGAATAAGGTTATTTTTAACAGCATTTAAAAGATTTATTGATATTTGCTCAAATTATGTTTAAGTCTCTTTCTGAATTCATTGGGATTCATGAAAGTATTCTGTGTACCTGAGTATTTAAGCTTCTAGTGTAATTCAAATCTTCCTATTTTAACTAGATGTTTTTTGCCCTTCACCCATAACTTTGTGTTTTAGTGCTCATTAGACATTGCATGTAGTGAAAATACCCAGCTAAACTTCTGTCTGGAGCTCAAAGTTTGTAGGGATTAATCAATTCATGAGAGAGACAGTGAAAAATTGTAAAAGAGATGGGTTTGTTCAGACCATTTTGGGAAGGCGTAGATATTTACC